ATTAAAAAATCTAACAACCTTATTTTCTCTAATTATATTTTCCACATGCCGTACAGGGGCTTAAAAAACATGAGACTAATGCTTTCATTCTAAAATATAAATTAATGAACTCAAAAATTTATTTGATTACTGATTTAATTTAAAATTTTAACTTTAAAAGCTTGGATAAGTAGATTTATAAATTGAGTAGGTTAGATGAATAAAATAATTTAAAAAAAAAATCAATGTGACCCTTGTCCTATTTTTTGGATTAATGAGATATTTTAACAAGAAAAAAAAACTCAATGTGGACCCTTAGACCGACCGATCCATTAATTCCAGTTGTTATAAATTAGATAAATTACATCATTCATCACTCAATTATTTTTTTCTCTTTATTTTGGTCACTAAACTAAAAGTTTTCAATTTCAAAATTGTTAGAGACTTCAGGAAACAAGGCTGTAGTTAACCCATTTAATCCCTATTTCTCTAACTTATTTCCTCTCATTCTCGCCGCCGCAACGAGCCAATTTCAACAGAGCCGCCGTTGATCCTTAAAATGAGAACATTGGATAATCCGAGAGTGTATAGAGGAGTAAGTGGGATAGGGAGGAAATAAGACGATCGGAGACGGAGAAGTGCTAAGGAAGTGAAAACATGGACGAGAAATCATTTGCAGAAGATGAGTTGAGCAGTGAAGGGTTTGAACGAGCAATCCAAGATTTGTTACTAAACAGTTGAGATTTTGTTGAGAAGAGTCTCTGTCCATTTTTCTTCAGGGAAAATATTAAAAAATAACAAAGAAAAATAAGGGATTAGCAACTAGCATCGTTTTTGTTAACAAAATCCTATCACAGTTAGTGTACTATTTTTGCTTTGTTTTTCTACCTATTGTATTGCATGTAGAAAATAAAGAGTAAATTATGTTCCCATTTACAAGGTAAATTGATGACTAGTGGATTGTTGTTATCACTGTCCGCAATAAACTCTGCTTACTATTTCAAAGAGGCAAAGTCTACAATACCAGTATGATATTTGGTAAGCTCCTTTACTTGGAAAACAAAAGGTTTTTGTTTGGTAAGCTTAATTTCGAAATCATGGCCTCTCATGACAAAGTTCCTTTACTTTCTCCCGACGTGTTAATCATTTTCAAAGGTAATGCAATGCAATGATCTCATCTTAAGGATGAATGGCGGTTCTGTTGAACTTGGCTCGTTGTGGCGGCGAGAAGGAGAGGAAAGAAGTTAGAGAAATGGGGTAAAATAGATCAATTACAGTCTTAGTCCCTGAAGTCTCTAGGATTTATGAAATTGAAAACTTTTAGAGTTTAGTGACCAAAACAGAAGAGAAGAAATAATTGAGTAATGAATGGAGTAATTTACCTAATTTATAACAACTAGAATTAACAGAACCGTTGGTCGAAGGACTACATTGGGTTCTGTTTTCAAGTTGGAGGGCCACGTTGATCCAAAGAGTAGGATAAGGGTCACATTGGTCTTTTTTGAAAAGTTAAAGACATTAAGGGGTCGTTTGGTTCACGGCATAAGATATTACCGGGGGAATGGAATCCTCATTCCCCCGTTTGGTTGGCCAATAATCCTATTACCGATAATCTTTTATTATCAATAGTGGATTTTTTGGGGTATATCACCGGGAATATGATTACCTCTCTTCCCTTAGGTATTGTTGGATTACCAGCGTTTTTGACTAACATGCCCTTAAAAAAATTTTCTTTTAAAAAATATCATTCTTCTGCCGTTGAATAATAAAAATTCTACGAAGGTTATCCAACAAATTTATACTTAAACTATTTTAGATTTACAAAAAAAAAATCTATAATTAAAATTTTATATGAAGTTCAGGGGTTAAAATAAAATTTTATCATTTCATTAAACCTATTTATCTTTTTAATTTTGTAAAAAAAATTATATAAATTTTATGAATTTAAATTTTTTAAAGAAAATATATAAATTAATTATAGTAATATTATAGTAGAATTAAACTTGTTAAAAAATAAATATATAATAAGAACAATTTGGTAAAATACATATTTCAATAATCTTTTATTCCTTTAACCAAACACTGTAATCTTACATCCCATCTAAACCAACCAAACACAAAATACAACATTTTCAATAATCCTATTCCCTGATAATCTTTTATTCCTACTGATAATCTTGCATTCTGTGAACCAAACGCACCCTTAAGTGCATTTGGTAAAATACATATTTCAATAATCTTTTATTCCTTTAACCAAACATTGTAATCTTACATCCCTGTTAAACCAACCAAACACAAAATACAACATTTTCAGTAATCTTATTCCCTGGTAATCTTTTATTCTAATATTATATTCCGTGAACCAAACGCACCCTTAAGTGTATTTTTGCCTTGGAATTATTACAATACTTAGATTTAAATTAATTAATCAATTGATAAAATAATTGTTATATAAAAGAATATTCTTAACCCATGATCCTATTCTTCCACCCTACTTATTACTTTTGAGATTTTTTTAATTATATTCTAGGTCCATGATTACACTATAGCTAAAATGGATTATTAAATTAACTTTTTGTAAAATATTTGTTTATTACTCATGATTTTACTAATGAAAAAACAACAATGATGAACCGCATTATTAATAAGCATAAGTCTTGGATTTATGAATATATATTCATTTATTTTTCAAAAAAAAAATTGAAACTCGTTTAGTATCAAAGGTCCAAATCATACAGAAAATGTAAACTCTAGAATGTTAAGGTATCTTTGAATTATTTGGCATGTTAGTGAATGCCATATGCGAATATGTCATTTTCACCCTTATTAATATCTAAGGGAATGAGCCCAACAATTCAGGTAAAAGTTTAAGCATCTCAAATCAGCATGCTGCTGTTAATGGCTCGCCATTGATTGGAAGGTCCAAGAGCACAGCTACATCTTTCATTGTTATCGTATATATGTCGCATGAGAGATGAAAAGTATAAGTCTCTCGTGGTTGTTGCAAGGGAAGATACATGTAGTTCTTATAATTTGAGAAAGGCAAAACTTGTATTATCCGTATAATACACGTCTCGGGAGGTTCTCACTTTTCAGAGAAAAATGGTAAAATAAACGGTGAAACAGAGAAGGAAGGCCAAGCCAGCAAGGCATTCAAAAACAAATACTTTATAATCATCCTAAACTTCAAACCTACATCTTTTTTCCAATGTTTTTAAAGTAGGACTAAACATTGAACCGGTGAAGGTACTAAATATTTTTTTTTAATTTTACATAATATTCAAAGCAATACTAATATATATGTAATACTTTTTTTAAGTTTACAATTTTAAAAGTTATAAAAATATCACAAGTCATAACATATATAAATTAAAAACCATAAAATCAAGTAAAACAAAATGATTCAAATCAACTACAACATAATATTTAAGGTAAAACATATTAAATAATAAATATAATTATATAACTATAATCAAAAAAATAAAATTGAGGCTTAAAAAAATCATAACAAATGATGTCATTTGGTTTAATTTAAAAAAAAAATCCACATGGCTAAGAAACATAGGAGATCATCCCAAAAGTTTAAAGAGTAAAAATATGAGAACAAAAAAATCTCACGTGGCTAAGAAACATAGAAGAGCATCCCAACTTACTTCTATAAATAATAGAGGTAATTTGACATTCAAAATCATGGAGTCTTTTGGTGAGCACAGAGCGAACTATTCTTTCGCTTCAATTGAGCTCAAATTTTAGGCTTCAATCGAACTTCTAATTTTTTTTTGATTTCGAGCCTTTTCGAGTTCAAGTTTTAATATTATATTTCGAGTTCGAGTTGAACTTGATGATTTTTAGCTCGTGAGTTTTTGAGTCGAGTTGAGCTTACTTTTAAAGTTTTCGAGTCGAGCTCAACAATACTCGAATTTGACTTGGTTCATTGAACAAATGACGTCATTTGGTTTGTTTTTTTTTTAAAAAAAGTGAACCGGCAGTTCAAACCGGTTTTGTGGTTTTCAGCCGGTTCACCCCAATTTTATCGGTTTTCAGCCGGTTCATTACCAGCTCGATTTTGTGAGGTAACCAGACCGGACAAACCACCGATTCACGGTTCAACCGGTTGAATCGACCGATCCAATCCGATTTTGATAACCATGCTTTTTTTCCCTTCACTTATAATGTTCCCTTTTCTGGTATTTCACATGCAATCCATTTAATTTCCTTCATTTCTGACTACCCTTTTCACCAATCATCAATTATTTCTTTCTTTTCTGTGATAATCATATTACTGTGTTCAAAGTTTTCTTCTTCTTCTTTTTCCTTTTGAACATCCCAAAATAAAAGGTCTTTGTATTTCTTCTTCTTCATCATCTGTATTTTGTAAAGATCTGGTTGGTGGTGGATACATGGGGAGGCTATTTTTGGTGAATCTCGAAGGGAAGGTTTATAGCTGCAAGCACTGCAAAACCCATCTTGCTCTTTGCGATGATATCGTCTCCAAGGTTGTTCTTTTTTTCTTCTTAAATTTGATTCCTTTAACTTTTGTATGAAATCTTCATCTGGGTCCCTTGGTTGATTAAATTGAGATGTCTTCAATTATTAAGCTAGGAATTTGGTATTCCATGTTGATTTTTTTCCTGTCTTGATGGTGCATTGGAATTAGTATTTTGTTTTGCAAGTTCAATGGCTTTAATATGTTAATTTTATCATAGATGATAATTTTGTATGCTGGGAGGATTTCATCTCTTTGTAGGCATAGATGATAATTTGGTGTCCTTTTCAAGGGCTTGGATCTTTGATGATTGCAAATAGTTGACATTTTAATACAAACATGACGTTAAATGTATTTTATTTTGCTTTACTTGTGCTAGAGATTAAACCTACTATGTACTGTGTAATATTATTCTCAATCATTAATGTTAGATTTTGCATATTTAGTTCTACCAGTGTAGTTCGTAAAACGATGCTACTGTGAAAAGAAGAAGACAGTGAGTGTCATATGTACTCGAATCGTTTGAAGGTTATAATGCTTATACTTGATTTAGGAACTGGTTAGTGGATGATAACTATGGTGATAAAGAATGAAGATGCTTGATCGCTGAAGTATTAAGTAGTTATATGTTTCATATGCACATCGGTGTAGTCGATTATTCCGGGTTGTTCTTGGGGGTGCTTTCACATAGGCACTAACGATTTTCATGGTGTTGGAGAAAAAATTGTTTGGGGTTCTCTTATGTCCACAGTTTGTAACCATGTGTTTTACCTGTGTTGTTTTATTCAGACCTTCTACTGCAGGCATGGGAAAGCATATCTCTTCAGTAAAGTGTAAGTTTTATCGGTTTAGACACCTCATAGGTATTGTTAAACAACTACTCTAATGCTTACCTATGCTATAAGGTGTCGGCTACTTCTATAAACAAGTAACGGTATCATTGTCAAACTATGTTGTACTCGTAATCTCTTGCTTAACAGGTGACGAAGAATTGTACTTGATGAATTCATTGTTGGTTCTAGTAATTTGTTTTGATCGCTTAGAGCAAGTCAATAGCATTGCATTTTCAAGGATAGATGTTCCGAGGATGGACTTTGTGGATATCCCACTTGCATAATCTTTTGAGAAAATGAGATTTCGAGTTATCAGTATAGAATGCTTGTTTTCGTGTGTTGCATTTTGAAGGATACATATTCCAAGGATGGACTTTGTGAACATCCCACTTGCATGACCTTTGGAGAAAATGAGATTTCGAGTTATCTGTATAGAATGCTTGTTTTCGTATGTAGTTTTCATCTCCCATTGTTTCTCAGAGTAAACGTTTCTTCTGGAGAAGAGGAAGATAGAATGATGATGACGGGGTTGCACACCGTTGCGGACATCTTCTGTGTTGGATGTGGATCAATTGTGGGGTGGAAATATGTAAGCTTTCTAGTATTGCATTTTCGAAATTCATGATTTAATGTATCAGTTACTTCTTGCTGCTGTTTACGAGGATTGTTTCTTTTAGGAATTTGCCCATGAGAAGAACCAGAAATACAAGGAAGGAAAATTCGTCCTTGAGCGGTGAGTAAATAAATCAGAAATATATAAGCTTCAAATTCGGACTAGGGAAGGAGGTTCTTAACAGAGGTTTCTGGATCTTGGTGTTGAACAGGTTTAAGGTGTCCGGTCCGGACGGAAGCAATTACTGGGTCAGCCATGGTAGACACGTTGGTGGGAGTGATGCAGATGATGTTTGATTAACAAGCGAAATATGTTCAAATTTGAAACTGTACATTCATTATCCCCTAAAATCTCATTAAACTCTCATGTGAATCCTTAAAAACCAGACATACTTGAGCAGCTTGTTCGACTTGCTGTGGAAAAAAATAACCAAACACGAGTGGAAAACATTGAATTGTTTTAGCTAATATTGAAACCTGACCAGAAATATTATGTTACAAATTGATATTTCAGATGTTTATATTGGTGAACTTCATAGCACGATTTCTGCTATTACAATTAACCGATTATAATATAATGAAAAGTTGGGTAAGGCTTATGCAATTGACCCCAAAAAAAAAAAAACTCAATAAGATAAGCACCAACCTTTTTCTAACTTATTATTTGCCCTGATTGATTGATCTTAATACAAAATTAGGATATGCTGCATGTAAAGAAGGATAAAAGTTTGGTCTAACGACCCAAATTGTGTGATAATATTAAATACGGAACGGCATATGTTGGTGACTGCAAAAAGAAAGCATATCCGAATTCCTAAATTAAAGAGATCCTACACGGTTTCAATTTGCCAACCAAACAAACTTTGTTTACAACTTACACCCCCAAAGTTTATAGTATGTCATTTTAGTATTGATGCTATTTCAGAATGTTTGTATTATTTATTTAGTATCGATATTTGTACTCTAAATTAGCTAAAATTTTCTTAGTCCTCCAATTATGCAATGTTTGTGATATAACTTCTGAGTTTATAACGTTTTCACATGAGTCCCTATTTGTGTAAGAATGATTGCACAAACCTCTGATTTTGTCCGTTTTCAAACTGGGAGGATGTTAATTGATGCTACCTTCTCGTGGACAAGTCTATGCTAAGTGACTCAAAATGGTAAGTTCCAGATTTCCAAAAGGAGGCAAATGCTCAACATTTACGCCAAAGATTTAGAATGACAGATTGGTAGATTGTTTTTTGAAACTAGCTTTCGAAGTTTTGATATACATTGTGGAATAATCCAAGATAAGTTGATATTAGTTCTAAAGGAAATGATGTAGATTGTTTTGGCTAGCAAACGGGAGTAGTGTACCGAGGTGTTAGACCGTGCACTGTCGTCCGTCAAATTACTTTGGTCTTGATATATGGAATAAATAAAGTTTATCATAAATCAAGTTTACAAATTGTCGTAACCGGTTTTCGCCCGGGCACGAATTTTTACTTGGCGAAAAAAATGATGTGAATAAATAGTTTTTAAAATATTTTGGGAGTCACCATCGGCCTTTTGAATCAGGTAGGTCGAATACCTCAAAATTATCTTTTAAAAGAGTTTTTAAGAAAACATTAGTTAAAAGATAAACTAGTATGCGTTTTAACAAAAAATTCGTTCTTTTTAATAATAAAAAGAGATTCGTGGTCGATTACGTTTGGGGAAGGATTAACACCCCCACAACGCCCAAAATTGATACTTATTAATTATAAATTGTCTCTATTATTAGAAATTTAAATGTTCAAAGATGTATTTAATTTATAATCCTGTTATTTCAAATTAATTATTATAATTTTAAGAAAATCTATTTATATATATATATAAATAAGATATTTATTTATTTAGAAATATCAGAAAATGACTTCTAGGCGCTTTAAGACAGCTCTTTCCTTAATATTAAAAAATAAATAAATATTAATAAAACATTTATCTAAAAATAATTAAAAAATAGATTAATATAATTTATAAAAGTAAAATATTTATTTTTTTTAAAAATATCAGAAAATGGACATCCAGTTGCTTTAAGACTGCCCATTCTTAATAATAAAAAATAAATAAACATTTTTATTAAAAGTAATGAAAAGTATATATTTATATGACTTAAGATAATAATAAAAAATAATAATGAAAATAAAATACTAATTTAAAAGTATTGAAAAATAAAGTACAATACAAAATATAAATAAAATTGCAATAAAATTAATAAAATAAATTAAAAAACTTATAATATTAAAATATAAATATTGAAATTAAAGATACTAATTCGAAACATTATAAAAGATAGTCATTTAAAGGTGTAATTTACCCTAATTAATTAATTCAGATTAAAATAAAATTTATTAAAATTACAGGGACTAAATGCACTATTTATCCTAAATATATAATTATAGACATATAAGGACTAAAATAAAATAATATAAAATTATGATAATAAATTAATATGTTCATAAATTGATTTCAGTGGCTAAAATGGAAGTTTATAAACTTCCAGTGACTGCGCGTATAGTTTACCTCTATGTGAAATTATAGACACACCCCTCCCCAAAACGACGTCGTTTAGGAAGGGGTATTTATACCCGAATATGGCTCGCCCTACGGGCCATTCTCTCATTTCCTCTTTTCTTCTTTTCTCTCTAAAAACGAGAGAAACATTTCTCTCTCCCTTCTCTCTAGCCTCCTCCCACTGGAGGAACGGTGGTCATCGGCCGACCGTCGTGAACCACCACATCGCCGGACACCATCCACGATGGTCGAAAATTTCAAACCTACCCCAAATCGTCCCTCTTTAAAACATAAAGTCGAATCTAGCATTCTTCCATTCTAAAACCCCCTATTTTACCTTAGATCTAAAATAAACCGAAGTGGTTACCTTCGGTTATTTGGATCTCCGGCGATGTTGGAAAGCTCTGATGGTCGAGGTAAGGCTCTCGGTTTTTTTCTTTTGGTTTGACACTGTTTGGGATCGTTGCTATTTCCTTTCCCTTTTTTTTTGCTATCCTCGTCGTTTTTCTGTGTTCTCCGTGGCTGTTGGTTGTTGTTCGCGTTTTGTGAGTACTATAAATTATATGCAAATAATGTGCAAGTATACACAATCGCTCAAGTAATATAATGATGAGTGAGTATCGTCTCCACAGGGATTGGGTAAAATTACAAAAGTCTAACCAAAGCAATGCACTATTCTATCTAAGTATAGTTAGTCTTGATATATACAAATGTCACGGCAATATAAATGTGTATGCTGGTGGATATGTAGTGAAGATCTGATGGTGTAGCAAATAGAAATGCAATGGCAATGATGGATGTTTGATGTTGAGTATGGTGAAATTTCAAGGCAATGAAAAATGGTAAAAACAATAAATAAAGATAAAATGAAAAGAAAATAATCCTCACGTGACAAGCTTCCAAGAGAATGAATGGTAGGGATTGATCTACGGATGCTAAACTTATTTCTCAAGTATATTTAAGCTAATTGGTCTTTACTTACTTGATAGGGCTTTCCTAAAGTGTTCTAAAGAACCTAACAGAATAGGATGCCAAGGCATCTGCTCTCACTCAACGATGTTGGCCAGCCTACCCTATTGATAAAGACACCCTTTTTAGTCATTGAAATCCTATCCTAGCCTCTTCCGAGATCTAAGGGATTAAGTTATAATATTCCTAGGCCGGTTCAAAGCCCCTTGAAAATACTATAACCCATTGCTTATGAGGATCTTATCTTGTGTTTCTTCCGAATACTTACAAGTATTTTTAGTCTAGGATTCTTCCGAATACCTAACCTTCATCTAAGAAATGGACATTTCCATGCCTCTTACAAGCCTAGATGGTGAAGCATTCATAAGCAAAGCAAATAAAGAACCAAAATAAACTTAAATATACCATTAAAAATAAAGTTCAAACAACCATTAAATCAACCACCACCAAATAAGTTAGTTCATGGTGGGGTTCAAAATATCCAAACACAAAGTCATGAAAATATTTGTTCCAACAACCCACAAATAAATATAAAATAGCAGCAAAAAGGGAAGTTGAGAAGAAGCCTTCGACGTGCCACCGGAGGTCTCCTCTCGGCCACCGTGAACCACCTAGCTCGCTAGCTCCTTTCGGCTCCTAGCTCGCCACTCCTTGGAGCTTTATCAATGGAGGAATATCCCAAGGAAGAAGAAAGGAAAAGAGAAAATAAAAATGTGATTTTTGCTACCGTATATGTCCTCCTCTCTTTCCTTTTTTTTTCTCCCCCATGAGGTGTCATATATAATAAAAAATATCTAGGGGTAATGATGAGGTTGTTGGGTGCAAAATACCCCTCATACCCCTAGAATCACATGTTGGGTGTGAACCTTATCCTTCAAGTGGTAGTGGTCTTTTGGCAGCTCTGGCAGGCGGTTACAACAGTCCTTCACATGCAGAGACAGCTGTTCAGTGCCAGCTGTCCTTATGCAGAAAATTTTTTTTGTCTTTTTTTTGCGCTAAAAATGCCAAGGCATTTCAATATGCTTTAGCAACGTGTGATGCCGCGGCATTACTTCCCAAAGAATCTTTTTTTCTTGCTATTCCCTGCACACCACAAACAAACTGCACATTTCCCTCAAATATCACCATTAAGAAATAAAATAGCACAATCACCACAAATGCACTATATGCAACTACATGATCCTAAAATGCCTAAGATGAGCTTTTAAGAAAACAATAACTTAAGTGAAAAAGGCCTTAAAAGTAGCCTTTTTAGGAAGTTAACACACCCCAAACTTAAGCTATTGCTTATCCTCAAGCAATAGATAGCAGTTACATAAGCAGAATGTCATGGCAATTTTCTACAGTAGGGGCGTATGACAAAATTGAATTTCAACCCTCAGAAAAAAATAAGCTTCAACATGCTAGACTTATCAAGAATTCAAGTACTTTTCCCTAGGTCAAGATCTATTGTGGTAGTGTGTGTGCGTGATTGTATCCAATCTATACTTAGCAAACTTAGACTATTTCTAATCAAGCACATTTTTACTCCCTTTTCTTTGATTTTTTTTAATGTTGTTACAAAGGGAGTCAGCTCATCACACCTACTCTCCCACACTCTAGATGAAATGGAGCATACCTTCCACCCCCGAGCTAGTTAAGTAGAGTCATCCCGTGACTACTTTCATTCACTCATATGCACAAGGCTGCCATTTATTAAAGAAAGTTCTAGGCAATGCCACGGCAAAGAGAAGTGTCCCTCTACAGCTATGCCTAAGCATTTATTCACAGTTTCATTTTTAAGGGAGTTTATTTTTGATTTTTCTTTTAAGCACAACACTATATTTCAATGCCAAAACTAACTAGTGTTATTTCATAAAAAATTTCTAAATTTTCTAAATATAGATAACATACAAATCGTGTAAAAGTTTTTCACAAAGAATCAAGCCCTAGAGTGAGTTCTATCATTCTCAACAGTCATTTACATTCAGATTCTAGCCTAACATTATCATCATCGGGTATCCTCAAAACATTTCATCTAACTGTCCTACCATTTTCTGATGCCATGGCATAAA